ATGTGGCATCAACAATTGCAGACGATCGCATCACAGGTTACTCCATAAAGACCCTGAACAGACAACTTCCGCAGACACTCGACAGATAACCAGATCATCAGAGAATACCCAGTCCAGACAAACTGAAGACCTGGTGAATGAAAATGTTCTACTGATGGGACAAGGTGCAGCAAATGTACTACTCAGGATGGTGAACGTCAAAGTTTATGGAGCGAATTCCACCATAGAAACTGTTGCACTATGTGATGAAGCCTCAACTGTAACATTGGTAGACCAGTCAATCGCAGATCAGCTTGGTTTTGAAGAAAGACCGCAATCACTTCGTATACAATGGACGAATAACCTCACGTCTTGTTATGAAAACTCTCACTGCCTAGACGTGGCAATATCTGGAATACATCAAAATGCCAAAAGGTTCCAGATGAGAAATGTAAGAACAGTAGAAAATTTGTCTCTACCTCTCCAAATCATCAAAGAAGTCGACTGGAAGCGATATCAGCACCTTGATGGAATTCCGTTCAGCGAAATCAAAAATCGTCCAATGATTCTGATAGGCCAAGACAATATCAGAATGACCGTTGCCAGAAAAGTGATACAGGGCCCTGAAGATTCACCCGTTGCTACAAAGACCAGTCTCGGATGGATACTTCATGGAGGTGTTGGAAATGTCAACAAAGAAGAAAACGTTCATTGTTTGCATATATGCGATTGCAGGAAAGCGGACGATATTCTCCACGATATTGTGCAACAAACATTCACAACCGAGTCGTTTGGAGTACAGCCTGCAAGAAAAGCAAGCAAAGAAGATACGAGAGCCCTTGCTATCATGCAAAATACTGCCAGACGAGTAGGAGAACGTTTTGAAATCGGACTTCTTTGGAAAGAGGACAATCCTGTGTTGCCAGAGAGCAAATCAGTTGCGATACGACGATTGTATTGTGTTGAGAAACAGTTGCAAAAGGACGATAACTTCCGACAGAGGTATTGCGAAAAAATTGCATCTTATGTCCAGAAGGGATATGCCAGGAAACTGACACCTGCAGAAGCAAAGGAGGAATATTCACGATGCTGGTATTTGCCACATTTTGGCGTTATAAATGCCAACAAACCGAATAAGCTGAGACTCGTGTTTGATGCCGCTGCAAAATCGTCTGGTACGAGTCTGAATGATCAATTACTTTCTGGTCCAGACCTTTTGCAGTCACTTGTGAGCGTGTTGGTGAAATTTCGTCAGAGGAAGATTGCCTTCTGCAGCGATGTCAGAGAGATGTTCCACCAGGTGCGCATAATTCCTCAAGACCAGAAAGCCCAGCGTTTCCTCTGGAGGGATGGAGATCGGAACAAGCCAGTGGACACCTACGAGATGCAAGTGATGACTTTCGGCGCGACATGTTCACCAGCTTCAGCACAGTACATCAAAAACCTGAATGCAGAACAACTTACCGACCGACAAGAAATTCTGACAGCTATCACAAAAAAACATTATGTCGATGACTATCTAGACTGTACCGATACCATAGAAGAAGCTCTGCAGATGATAACCGAAGTTAGACGGATACAAAGACTTGGAGGGTTCGAGTTGGTCAATTGGATCTCCAATTCCGAAGACGTGAAGACTGCACTCTCCTTAGACAAGGACATCTGTAAGGATCTGAATCTGAATTCGTCTGAATCAGTTCAGCGAGTTCTAGGTCTCTCATGGAATCCGAATATCGACCATTTCTGTTTCCACCTGAATTTGGACCTCAAGAAGATTTATAATTCAACTGTCAGACCTACAAAAAGACAAATTCTTCAACAGGTAATGTCTGTATTTGACCCCCTTGGACTGATTGTGAACCTGACTATCCGGGGGAGGATACTTTTACAAGATATTTGGAAATCAGGAATCGGTTGGGACGATAGCATCGACGAAGAGCTTCACGAGACCTGGACCTGCCTAATGAAAGACCTAGCAGAAGTTGCTGGATTGACCATTCCAAGATGCTATTCAGTGAACATTCCTACCGCTGAACGAATCGAGATGCATGTATTTTGTGACGCCAGCAAAAAAGCCTATGCAGCAGCAGCATACCTCCGTACAATAGCCTCGACAGACATAGAAGCAAGACTCATTCTAGCCAAGGCCAGAGTAGCATCAACCAAGTCGATTTCAATACCACGTCTTGAACTTCAAGCAGCTCTATTAGGAAGTCGGATAGCCAAAATCCTTCTAGAAACTTTGGAGTTCAAGATACACGAAATTTACCTGTGGACAGACTCTACAACGGTTTTACATTGGATAAAAAGAGATGCTGGTAAATTAGGTCAATTTGAGTCACATCGTATTGGGGAAATTCAAGAGAGCACGAATACTGCAGACTGGCACTGGATTCCCTCGAAGATGAATGCAGCAGACAATGCTACGAGGACATACTCCAAGGATGGGTCGAATCCGCTGGATTTCAAGACTTGGCTAAATGGACCAGACTTTCTATACGAAGACAAATCGACTTGGCCGAAGAAATCTATTGGTCACCTAGAAGAACAAGCAGAATTCACGGCTTTGAGTTTTGAAAAGAATATTGGGTTACCAAACATCACCAGATTCTCTAAATGGTCACGACTACTGCGAACTACAGCGTGGATAATGAGATTTGGAAGAATACTCTTGAAAAAACACCATAAGCTGAATCAAGATTTGCCGCCTGATTTGTCGGTTCCTGAGCTAGACCATGCGAAGAAGCTTTTGTTGAGAGAATGTCAGCTAGAGACCTTCACAGACGAATTGCAGTTGCTACAGAAAAAGAAACCAATTGCTAATCATAGTCGACTGAAGAAGCTTTCGCCCATGTTGAACGAGGACGGTCTCATAGCTCTGAGCGGCCGGACTTCACTATCCCCTGAAATGGACATTTCTGCAAAACACCCTGTGATACTACCAGCAAATCATAGACTCACCTATCTAGTTTTGCAAAACGTACACGAAAAATGTGGTCACCATGGTATCGAGACAGTTCTGAACGAAGTACGGAAACAATACTGGGTGATAGACGGAAGATCCGCTGTGAAGACAGTTTTCCGTAAATGCCAAAGATGCAGGGTGATGAAAGCGAAACCTTTGTCACCAATAATGGGTCAGCTTCCAGCGTGCAGAGTATCAGCGAGCTTCAAGCCATTCACATACACTGGAATGGATTACTTCGGACCATTGTTTGTAACCGTTGGACGCCGAACAGAAAAGAGATGGGGAGTACTTTTCACCTGTCTATCGATCAGAGCCATTCATCTAGAAGTTGCATATTCGTTGACTACAGACTCGGCGATAATGGCGATAAGACGAATGATTGCCCGAAGAGGACAGCCTCAAGAGATCTACTCGGACAATGGAACCAACTTCAGAGGTGCTGCAGAAGAAATGAAGAGAGCGCTTAAAGAATTGGATCAAAAGAAAATTAATGAGACTATGACGCAGTTGAATATAACATGGAAGTTTCTACCTCCGGGATCACCTCATATGGCAGGAGTGTGGGAACGCATGATAAGGACTGTAAAAAACACTTTCAAGGTGATAATGAATGAACAAACACTACGAGATGAACTACTTTCAACCTTTCTGGTAGAATGCGAAAATATTGTGAACTCTAGACCATTGACGAAAGTATCTGTGGACCCAGATGACCTAGAATCCTTGACACCTAATCATTTCCTCTTGGGAGACAATAATGATAACCACGCATTTGGAGAGATAAGAGATTTACGAAATCACTGGAGGAGATCTCAGAAATTAGCTGACTACTTTTGGAAGAGATGGATAAAGGAGTACTTACCAACACTCAACAAACACTCCAAATGGAATCGAGATAGTCAACCGGTACAGCTGAACGACATAGTCATAATCGTGGATGAGAATGCACCACGAAAATCTTGGAAATTAGGTAAAATAGAAGCAGTTTTCCCTGGTCCAGACAAGAAGATACGAGTTGTAGATGTGAAGACTGCAAATGGAACTCTACGACGCCCTGTACACAAGTTATGCAGAATCGATACAGAGATGTGAAGAAATGCAAACGTTTCTTTCACGATGGGGGGAGAATGTAACGCCCTGTTAGTGACCCTGTATTTGGACACTCTATATATTTTATATCAATGTTAATATGATGTTCTGAACCAGTTAGTGACGAGAGTCAGTTGTTAAATAAACAAAAAGAGGAATTGTAAAAGTTATTTTATGACCAGACAAACCCGACAATAATTCCGAAAATATAGACTAATATCACACAGACGATATTTAACAGGTCGTTTTCAACAATTTAATATTTATAAAATTCATAATTTTACTCAAGCACTGAATTGAAAAAAATCTGAATTTGAAATTCTGAATTCAGTAAGTTGGACTTCTTTGACTTATTTTTATGAAAGTTATGACTTATCCCTATCCTGAATATACTACAACTTTATATCCTTTGACTTTCCTCGTAGAGTCGATATTTTTCTCAAAAGAGCCCCAAATGTGCAATTTTCAACTTTTGGGAAAAAAGTCAATATTTGAGGTCCGGTATCTTGGGCTGTATTGAACCTGAAGGAATGGTATTAAACTCAAATTGTGGTAAATTTATCCAGCTTCAAGAAAGGTCCAATAGATTTTTTCTTAGGAAGCTGCCTCAGGACTTCAGGGCTACAAATCGAAATTAGTTTTTTGAGTACCACACTTTTAGCATAGGTGAATGGAAGCTGCAAACTTGGTTTTATACTATTGGGTCATAGCCTAACACCATACAGAAAAAAATTGCCCTTTTTTGTCTAGGGTCAGTCTCCTATATGGGTATTGCCCTAAATAGAGATAAGCAACCACCCCAAATAACTGTTTCAGATATCTTTATCTTACCATTTACTTTTTGAGCTATCATAGACAACTTCAGCAGACATACTGTTTCAAAGTTTTGATTTGAAAGGTTCAATATACCCACTTAAAAGCAGTTGTATATTTATGTACCTATTAATTGATTTTCTTTTCACAGAAGAGTCTACATACTGAAAACCACCAACTACTTTAAGCTTCAAATAATGTGTTACTAGTGAATAATGTGAAACATTCTTAATAAAATGTGTAGTTCATATTTATGTCCAGTGTTTATTTCAAGTCACAAAGAATAGATAAAATACTTTCAAAAAAATCAAGAATCAAAGTTGTTCACAGTCATATGAACTTTCTTCTGTAATAATGTCAACTATACAGGATGATACATGGGTCTGTGACATACCAAACATATGTTTTTTTTTAATGGAATACCCTAATTGTAAATTATTCAACAAGCGTGTAATGAACGGGAATGTTGGCCAAACTTGTTACGTGAACTCGCGAATTAGGAATTGAATATAGTATAGTTGATATTTACTTTATTGGGAATAACCAATGACAAAAACGTTTGCAAGTTCTATATCAATAATGATCCAAAATTCAGCCCAGTTGTTTTACCGAAATTTTTGTATGGCTGATAGAAGATATTTGGAAAAGTCACCTACCATATTAATAACGAATGTTCACTATAGGCCACCAGTTGATCTGAGCACTTTTCAAATCAAACTAAGATCGTAATTGATTCAAAAAGTAAACTCATATAGTAGTATGAGTGGGAAATTAGGGAGCAGGAATTTCAGCCGATAGCCAATCAGAAAGATAGTAGTAATACATCCAATGGTAATGGAAATTTCGCTTCAACTTCAAAATTGTTTCAACCGTCGATCATATATTAGCCATTATAAAAAAATACAACAGAACATAATTCACGAAAATTCAGTGACATTAATTTGTTGATATGCCTAATAAATCGCATTATGTATTGCCGAATTATTGGCCTTGACTTTGGCGGTGAGGTCATTAATTATATGTTAATTACCTATGAATATATCAAATTTAATTTCTTCTTGTAGTCGGCAGTTCATCAATACACGGCTATTTTCTCACCACAATTTACTATAAAATTGATGTTTTGGAGCAGTAGAAATCAGTCTGAATGCAGTCTTAGACACGTTTCAGAACAGTCGAGAGTTAGTCTTGATGCAGTATTGATCCGTCAGAAACTAACGCCAAGATGTTTCAAATTCCGTTTAGTTTTTCGAAAAGTGTTCAGTGAGCCTCGGAAATGAAGGCAGTCTTGAAACAAACTCTTTTTGGTGGACGTCTTGACCCAGTAGTTTTGCTACACAGTCTTGTTATACGTCTTATGCAGTTGGTATTAACTGTATCAACTTTCGAGAGCTACTCGATATATTAGTGCAAGTGTTCGTCGCCGACCGTTACCACCGATAAAACAAGGCCAGCAGACTCTGACGTAAACAGCTCGTGACGTCGCATACTCAGGCCATCTTCCAAGGCATTCGCATCGATCGTCAGTTTGTTTTCGTTTAAGAACGGTGGCGTCGTGTGCTCGAATTCTCTTGTTGTTTATTCATCAAAATAATTGGCGGAGAAATTACTGTTTTGTGAAATATTTCGTGTTGTGATAGGCGAAATAACAATGCCTTACAAGTGTTGTGTTTCCTTTTGTCGGGGGAATTATGTGGGTGGTCCAAAAGTTCATGCTTTTAGTTTCCCGTTGGACAAGGAACTATCGAAAAAGTGGGTACATGCAATTCACCGCAAGGATTTTACGACTCCATCTAAGTACAGTAAAGTATGTGAAATACATTTTACTAAAGATGATATTATTACTTCATCTACTGCAACCGATTCAAAAACTGGCAAAACTGTAACTGAAAATTCCTAGGCTCAAACGAGATGTTATTCCCACTCAATTTCCCAACTGTCCATCTTATTTATCGAAAGATGTAAAATTACGCACAAGTCGTGATGAAAAACTTGAGATACTAGAGACTAAAAATTTGGCACAAGCACTTACCAAAAGTAAAACTGAATTCGAAAATTACCAAACATCATTTTGCTACACAGAATTTCAAGAATTTCTAGTTGTATTAGTCTTTTCAGTTGCCCGAAAAGTGGTTCAAAATTATCGATTTGCAAAGTCACATTATTCAAATTGTCTCTAAAAGCCAAGCTAAAAACACCTTTCATCTCTAATAATTCAATCAAATCAAGGAATTACTAATTGAAATAGATAAAAACGAGATACATAATTCGGGAAAATGTCTTGATAATCAGAAAAAGAGGGTTTTGAAACATATTTCGAATGCATTGGACTCTTTGGTTTCTGACTCGGTTTCAGATCTTGATGAAGATTCCGAAAACACTTTAGCTTTATTGTTCCTCTCTGAGCAAATTAAATTACATACATCCTGCAAAGAACGATATCGTTATTCGAATAATACTATAATTTTAGCCTCTATAATTCATACAATAAGTCCACATGCTTATAAATTTTTAAGACATTTTGGAGTACTCATATTACCTCATTCAGGTACAGTCAAGAAATAGTTATTTATGTATCAAGGGCGTAAAGTAGGCGTTTATGGCCTGTGGCGTGAATAATGGCCCGATGGCGCTAGCCGAGGGACATTACACGCTGAAGGCCATAAACGCATTTCACGCACGTGATACATACAACATTTTATGCACTAGTGGTTCATTTTCTCTCAAAAGTATTGACTATAGTTTTAGAAAAACTAATATTCCCCCGAATTTAAATGGTTACGTATAAATTCAGTAATGAAGAGAAGTGTAATGTTCATGGACGATTTACTTATAAAAATTATCGTACAAATATTGCAATTATCGTACTAGGCAAACTCTTTGATCTCTAAAAGAGATTCATTTTTCAGAATTTTACAATAAAGTGCACTTTACGGCCCGTGGGCCATAATGAGCCCGCGGGCGGTAAAGTTCAACTTAATGCCCGCAAAACCGGTCGGTAACGTGCACTTTACGGCCCGCTAGTGCATAAATGTATTTAAGTTATTAGGTGAGCGTGAAAAATATGTCATTTTAATGATTGATGAAGTTCATATAAAGCCATATTTAGATTACAAGGCATGCAATATTGTAGGAACGGCATTTAATAATTCATGTTTAGCAAATTCCGCATTTGTCTTCATGATAGCAAGCGTTAATATGTCAAATGTGAAAGAAGTTCTTCATATAAGTCCAACATCAAAAATAGATCACCTCATGATTTTTTCTTTAATAAAGAGAGTCATAAATAGATTAGAGGAAATTGGTTACAGAATATTCTGTATTATCAGTGACAATAATGCTGTCAACAGTAAAGCTATATACGAGTAATTTTGCAGAAAAACCAAAACTCAGTATTGTTTATCCTCATCCCGCAGATACATCACGTCCTCCTTTTTATCTTTTTGATTCTGTACATTTGTTGAAATGCATAAGGAATAATTGGCTCAATTCAAAACCAGATCAGAAATTGAATTATCCCGATTTTGAAACAGGGGTTGAAAGAGTTGCTTCTTTTCATAGTTTAAAAACCCTTCACGAATTAGAACATGATAAATAATTAAAATTTGGATAGTCGTTGAACCTGAAGGCGCTATTTCCCTCGAATATGGAAAGACAAAACGTCGCTTTGGCTCTCAAAATTTTCAATGATTTCATAGTACAGGCTCTTTTGAAATTTGGATCAAACATTGAAAACTCTGAAGGCACTGCTGGATTTATCAACCTGATACTCAAGTGGTGGAAAATTGTGAATGTCAAAACACCCCTCAAGGGCAAACGTTTGAATGATGTGTTTCAAGAACCTATCACAGCTATAAATTTTTGTTCCGATGAAAAATTCATTTTCTTGCATAAAATGATAGATTGGTTAGAAACTTGGAAATGATAGATAGTGATGTAGATAAATATAGTGATGACATGCCGGTAATAACCTATTTAGCAGGTTATTGTTGCTATATTACACTTTACACAGAACTTAATTTATAATGATGAATTAATAATAGAAGACAATTACACTCTCATAAAAAGTATGAGTAGAGGAAAATTACTCTATTCGCAATATTTGATTGTGCAGTTAGTTTTGTATTCGTATATTATATTCAACAAAATCATCTCTGAATTCGAGGAAATATTCTTGAATGTTCATAATAAACGGGCATTTTTAACTCAATACATTCTCAAATTTCTTTCTGAAAACGGTCATTTGCCTCGTTGCAATGAATGGAGAATTCATTCCAATGATCAAATTGCAACTATTATATTAACATGTACTACAAACACTCTACTTAAAAATTACTGTTACAAGTCTAACGACCAATTGGGTAAAAAATCCAACAACAGGAAATTGAAAACACTCACTGGCTAATTTTTTAGGTAATAGGAATTCTCCAAGATAAATATAGGTAATTAGGTATAACAAACGGCATGTCTATCAAACTAAAATACATTTTCCCCAATTTTCTTTCGATCAATCTCATGATAAGTTTATGTTCTGCGGGCCCTGTATAAGTAGGCGTGGAGTTTACCTCTAATGAGATTGAATCACTACAATTTTTGCCAATATATTTAATTCGAATGGGTTGCTGTAGGTGGGTATTTGTGTTTTATTCTGGTTTTTGCTTTGAAACTTCGTTTTTCCATAATAAAATCGAATGGGATGCGAAGAAGGGCTCAGTTGACGGCTGGCATCCTCTTTCAACCGGAAGCTCTTCAAAAAAAAAGCAAAATCGGCTCAATAATGATCTAAAACTAAAATCGAAATATGCGGTCGCCTTATAGCGCTATAAGCGCTTGTCGTTTCGAGCCGCTGGTTAGGCCTGACTAAGTGACGTCACCCACGGAGCATGCAGGCCTTGTTTTATCGGTGGTAACGCGCCGACAATGTATAAACACCCAAAATTATGTAAGCATCGTTATATGTAAATACTTGTCAACTCTGCCTGCCGATAAGCTGAATTACTGAATAGAGATCTTATGTATTATGAGTTGCCGTATTTATGTAAACATTCTCTTCCATGCCTAAATATTCACGAACCCGATGAATTAAGTTACTTGTGAAGTCCACTGCCTAGGCCAACCCGACAGAACGTAGTGGGGCTTTACAATGTAAATGTTTGATACTCGGTTTGTAATATTGAGGTACTCTTTCGTAAGTCGTGAGTCAGTTCCGCGGGTATGGTACATTTAAAATAGAGGATCGCATTGCCAATGT